AGACTGGGATGGCTTCCCTCCAGACTGGGATGGCTTCTCTCCAGACTGGGATGGCTTTCCTCTAGACTGGGATGGCTTCCCTGAATTTGGAATACTTTGAAGTGTGCTCAAAGTTTCCCTAACCAGGTTGGACATTCCTGGCAACTGGGTTCTGTGAGATTTTGGCTTCAGCTTTTCATTGCCTTTTTGAAGCAAGTTGGAAAAGGATCTTTGCCTCCTTTTTTTTGAAAAAAGGGAGGAGGGATATTTCTTCACCAGGAGGCATAGCTATGCATGATCTCTGTCCTACCTTTGGCTGTGTCATTTATCTAGATATAAAGAGCTGCAGCTGCTGTGCTCTGGCTTGCAGTGCACACTGCTTCTGAATCATAGATTTTAATCAAGTTCAAATTATTTTCTTCATTTTTCATATTTATTTTAGTACTTAAATTTACAGTTAAAGTAGTTTTTTGTCATCAGTTTTTATTATTAATTGATATCTAACTAGGACAATGTTATGAAATTTTAATTTAATTTTTAGAGGAACTAATTTTTGTTATTTTTGCTATATTTCAGTATTTAACTACTTGCCTACTCCAGTTAATAGAAGTGTTTAAGTCCATATCTTGTTTCACTTTGTCTGTGTAAGCTTGCTGAATGTTGTAGGAGTATGTGACATGTGCTACATTGCTTTCTTATCAAGTAATGATGTGGTGTGATAACATGAGGGCTGCATTGAATTTATGTATTTGTTAAGTATTTGTTGTAAGTTTTATTATCCACTTCCTTGACGTTTAACAATTATTTACCAGTGATTATTTATGAAATGCATTTTTTTTTTGTTAAGCAAGTAAAAAATGAAGAATCATGACAGTTATCAATTTTTATTCTCACAACTTGTTGAACCCTAAGTCTAAGTAATAATTGTGTGTAGCTTTCTGAATGAGCTGCAACTGTTCAACTGTCATGTGAAATACATCCCCAGAGCTTCTAACTACATGCATTGATGTCTATATAATATAGTGTGACACTGTTCATTGTGACTTTTGCTCTCTGGTGCTTAAAAAAGAATCAATGTACAAATGTTGTTCTAAGTCAAATCCTCTATCTCACATAAATTATATGCACAGATGTGTTCTTAACCACGTACCTTGATTGATTAGTGTAAGTTGAAATATAGGAAAACACACAGAAGACAATCATATTTCCTATTCATTTTACTCTTCAAGTGTTGATTTATGATGGCTTATGCTTTAAAAAGAGGGGGACAGACTTTACATAGATATCTATGGTGTTGTCAGTGCTGTCACACCTAATGTAATCACAACTTACATTTTTGCACAATTGGCAGTCACAGCAGCTGTCACACCTAACACAATCATCTCACATTCATCACAATTAGCAGTCATCTGAGTCATCTCCAACACAATTGCTGGTTTAAACCCCATACCTGTCTCATCTAACACAGTCATCTGTCTCACCTAACACAGTCAACTCACTTGACCCTCCATGTCATGTCATATATGTTGTTTATGTAGATATATTGCATTACTTACATGGTTTGCCACTTACTTGCTGATGGACTGGAACCATATTTGTTGCAGGATCCAAACCGTCTGCACTATGAGCCCTGGGAGCTGAAGGTGTTTGAGCACATAGAATGTGAATGGCCAATGTTCTTTGCTTACCTCATCCTAGATGGGTTGTTTAATGGAAACCAAGCACAGGTTAGTCTACCTCATCCTAGATGGGTTATATAATGAAAACCAAGCACAGGTTAGTCTACCTCATCCTAGATGGGTTATATAATGTAAACCAAACGGGTTAGTCAGTTGTTAAGTTGGCATAAGGCATTAGGTTCTTTAACATTTATTTAAATTTCCCTAGTTCAAAAGCTGCACAGTATAAATATATGTTATACTATTTTTTCACTGACAGGTTGATAAATATCGAGATGCTCTAGACCGTATTATGGTCCGTCAGCCAGATGGTATTCTGTGTATGCCAGAGTCCTACTTGGTGCCAGCAGACAAAGTGGATGCAGAGTATAAGAAACCCCACAGCCAGGAGAGAAAGATAGTAGGACAGGTGCCCCATAGGTGGGGACAGTCACTGTATATACTGGGGAGACTTCTGATGGAGGTAAGTGATGTTTAGACTGAAGTGAAGAAGAGCAAGTGAAAATAATTTGAAGATAAAGTGCTATCATATAAAATTAAATTACCAATACCTGTGGTGGTCATGTTTGCTGCAGACAGATCAGTGCTGTGCATTATTGTCTAATTGTTACCACAAAAGATCAACATGGGGAATTGATGTAAATATTGTTATCATTTATTACACTTAATATTTAGGAAGGGATCACAAATACAAAGTTTACATCCCAACCTATCATTTCAGAACTTCCTGACTCCTGATGAACTGGACCCTCTAAATAAAAATACAAAGTTTACATCACAACCTATCATTTCAGAACTTCCTGACTCCTGATGAACTGGACCCTCTAAATACAAATACAAAGTTTACATCACAACCTATCATTTCAGAACTTCCTGACTCCTGATGAACTGGACCCTCTAAATAAAAATACAAAGTTTACATCACAACCTATCATTTCAGAACTTCCTGACCCCTGGTGAACTGGACCCTCTAAATCGTCGGCTGGTCACTCTCCCCAAACCAGACCTGGTCGTCCAAGTGGTCATTCTGGCCGAGGATTTTATCATCCAGGAGAGGCTGGCTGAACACGACCTCCATGTCCAGACTATAGGACAGGTGTCACCCATACAGGTCCACCCAGCTAGGGTACTCAGCCATGTGTATTCTTTGTTAGGTGAGTAAGTTAATGTGATAGACTATAGGACAGGTGTCACCCATACAGGTCCACCCAGCTAGCCTACTCAGTCATGTGTATTCTTTGTTAGGTGAGTAAGTTAATGTGATAGACTATAGGACAGGTGTCACCCATACAGGTCCACCCAGCTAGGGTACTCAGTCATGTGTATTCTTTGTTAGGTGAGTAAGTTTATGTCATAGATTCCCAAGTCTTCAGTTATGTCTGATCTCACTCTCTTCCAAATTGGTAAATTTTTCTTTGATTTTACATTACGTAGTGAGACATTGGGAAGATTATGGATGACTCCCATTGAGAAGGTAAACTTGTCATTGATATGTTTTTATTTGGATTTTATTGGTACATTTCATATCTTTTGTAATTTCAGGAAAGAATAAGAAGTTGGGCTTGACTGGCAGACCTTCCTCTGAAGTTGGTCTCCTAGCAACCAGTAAACTGTATCGTCTTGGAGACCATATTTATGCCTTCATGCCACAGGTAAGAGAATAGTTCATCACTAAAATGGCTTATTGATAGAATGAAACCCTGAACAATTTTATATACTACTTTTAGATACTTTGTTTTTTGATGGAGTAAAATTGTCAGGATGAAAAAATTAAAGGAAAATGTTATTGCATTATTTTGATGTAACTTTGGATAGATGAAAGTTTTAATCTTAATGTAAAATATTATTGATTTGCTAACTTGTCTTATTTGTTTTAGCAGACTATCTTTGTCATAGGACACTGTAACAGACTATTTTTATAATCAAAACTCCTACCAGATACTTGACTGAATATGATGTAGAAAAGGCCAAATGACCATAATGCCATCAACCTCTCTACAAATGAGTTTTAATTTAAGTTTAGCCTGTTTTATGTACATGCTTGCATTTTTCATTGTCAAGTTGATTTTTTTTGTGTGTTTGTTAAAATTTGATAATTATTTTCCCCATAATAAAGAAGAAAAAAAGTTGCTAAAATGCATCTCTTTTCATGTTACTATGTTGCCCATAACTCAACTAGAAAACCCAGCTATAGACTCCAGCTAGCACCTGCTGGGGGGACCACTGGAGACTCCAGCTAGTACCTGCCGGGGGGGGGGGGGGGGAGCACTGGAGACTCCAGCTAGTACCTGCTGGGGGGACAACTAGAGACTCCAGTGGACTTTGATGCAGTCTTACTGAATGTTCACTGTTTTCTTACTCTTGCAGTTCATGGATCAGCTCCAGTTTTACCTGGCATTAGACAACGAGTTGTTGCTGGATATTTTCCGCACAGAAGTCGACTACCTTAGTACAAACTGGAGCATGTTGGGAAGACCAACTTTTATTTTCCAAGTCACTCACAATATGCTAGGTTAGGTTCAGTATTTTGAAACATCTCTGGTGGAATATGCCTATAGTGCTTTATTTGAAGTATCTTCTCTTTTAATGATAATCCATGACATATGAACTCTCTCTACAATACATCATGTAATATGTGTTTTCTCTCTTTAAACCAGAAGACCAGCCAGTCTTGAAGCTAATATTTTAGGCACCATCTGGTGGGAAGCCTAGCAGTGGCAAATCAAATATAACCTTTTTTATCACTATACAAATGATACTGTCCTGTAACCAAATATTACCTATTCCGTCACCATCACAAATGATACTGGCCTGTAACCAAATGTTACCTATTCCGTCACCATCACAAATGATACTGGCCTGTAACCAAATGTTACCTATTCCGTCACCATCACAAATGATACTGGCCTGTAACCAAATGTTACCTATTCCGTCACCATCACAAATGATACTGGCCTGTAACCAAATGTTACCTATTCCGTCACCATCACAAATGATACTGGCCTGTAAACAAATTAAATACTAATGAGACAGAGGCAACTGTTCTAAGAATGTTGCTGCTGCCGCCATTCTGACCAAGGCCAAAGACAGTGATGATGATACATCAATTTCACATAAGTTTTTTGGTCATGAAGACTGATAACATTCTTGATATCCCTAAATTCAGTGATTTACATTTTAACTTTCTTTTAAAATGATCTATATAAGATAATTCATCTTTAATACACTGAACTTGATCTCCTTTGATTATAACTGCTCATATTAAGGTTGATGTTTTGCCAGGCATCTGATAATTCTCAGGGCAGTGGAAGTAATACTTACTAAAGTATACTCATAGAATAAATGGACAAAAGTTTTTTTCAAATATTGCCCTAAATTAATGTTTTTTTCCCCAGAGTTTATTTCAATAAACCAGTCTATAGGCACATTCTTACCATTGGTGTATCCATAGCTAGCCCCTTCACCTGTCCTGTGTATTTCAATAAACCAGTCTATAGGCACATTCTTACCATTGGTGTATCCATAGCTAGCCCCTTCACCTGTCCTGTGTATTGATCATATTTTGTTATCATTTCATGCTTTCAGTCAGCTTATTTTGCATGTCCCAGATGTTGTCTTCCTTGTGATCCATCTTTCCTTTGAAAGTTTGCAATATGGTCTGATATGGCCTAACATTGCTGTGCCTTAACCATATATATCTAATAGCCTTGGAGGGAATTAGCAGCTTGGATAAAAAGATATGTATAGTCCCACAATAAAGCTTTTGGCTTGGAGTGGCTATTTGTTGAAAGTGTTCATACTCGCCATATAACATTGCCAGCTTTCTTTGGTATGGTGAGATATGATGAACAAAACATGGAATTACAAATAGAAAAACATACCTGAATTTCAAGATTTGTTGTAAAAACATGGAATTACAAATAGAAAAACGATACCTGAATTTCAAGATTTGTTGTAAAAACATTGAATTACAAATTAATTGACCAAAATTTCACGATTGTATCTTTAGAGAATTTATAGCAGATTTGAAGCTGTTTGGCTGTTGTCCCAAATTTATGGATTTTAGTAAAGATTTTCCTATAGAAACAGTGAGATTGTACCAAAGCTAGTATGTATATGGAACAGCAATGTTGTAGCACAGTTTAGTCATTTAGAAGTTTATTTCCAGCATGCACAGATTCTTCCTGCCTGTACTGGTGTCTGTCATTTTTAGATGATTGATTTGATTGTGATTTATTTATTTTTCCCAATGTTGTATAAAATTGATGCTATCACACTTCCCCTTCTCCAAACCTGGGTAGAGGACAACATTCAGTGTTGATGAAAATCTTCATAAAAATTGCATGAAGTTAAATGAGCCAAAAATTGCAGTTGTATATATCAGTGATTGACAAAGTGATTATGTAATGATAGAGCTGTGGCTGGTGGTCTACTGTCATTATATATGTGCCCAAAATTTTATTTTTTATCAGACAATTTGAAGAATAAGACCCACTGGAGAGGATGCTTATTACATGAATTGGCTTAGTTTTCATCTCAAAACTGAAATGTAGAAAGCATTTAATTAAAATTCTAAAATTAGATCAGTTTTGAATCAGGTCTCTCTTTTCTCAAATTGTGATTTTGTCATTGAAATTCTGCACTGAATTCTTCTTCCCCAGTGTTCTATGTTTGTTATTATCAAAGCCAAGTTTTGTAGTTTTGCAGATTGGTATTCTCCCAGTTTTTATAAAATAATACACATTTATTAAGTGTAATATCAAAGAATTAAATTTGTGAGAAAATCCATGTATTTATTATCTAAAGAGAGATCCAGCTTTATAAGAAATATTTGGTGCCCAGGTTAGAATCTTGGTTGTGAGGAGAGGACTCTGCCCATCTCATCACTCACCAATTAAGCAATGCATGAGAATGAAGTGTGTTGGTGTGATATCCAAGGTTGATTTAACTGACATGAGTGTGGCTTACCATATTTGCTTGTTGTTTAATTATCATACTGTTTTTCTTAGCCAGATGATACCCTCATCTTGAGGTTTTCAACCAAGAAGAATTCTGGCACTGTGCCCTGATATAATCACTTGTTTTCTGCCCAAATTAGAAGTCTCTAAGTTAGGACTAAAAAAAAAACACATTTTAATGAAGTCGTCCCTGTTGTTTTGCTTCCTAGTTTCTAGATCAACAGGCCTATTACCTGGTTCAAGACACCAACTTCATGGTGGACACATTCCGAACTGATGTGTCTTATCTCAGGAACAATTGGCATGCCCTGGGCCGACCATGCATGGTTTTTCCAATATTTCATTGGATGATGGGTATGCGATTTATTCAGCACTATTACTCCTCCTTAGATAGCAGACAATTTGCTCAACAATTCTGTAAAGCAAATATGTCAGAAATATGTGTTTAGGTTTATTAAGATGAAGTACATGCTATTATTGACAAAATGACATATCACACACAGCATAATATATGTTTCTAAAGTTTGAAAAAAAAGATTGAAAAAAAAGATATCAATTTTGATTACAATTTTTGGTCTTTTAGTCATGAAAGAGCTAAATGATTGAAAAAAAAATTTTTTTTTTTGTTCCATGGGTCACTTTATTATTTATCATATACAGAACAGTATGAGTAATCTAACCAAGGTTAAAAATAGAATGCGATGAAAAAAAAAACCTGAAGGTACTTTATGGAAGGCTATGAAAAAAGGACAGTAATGTAATACTATCAGAGCCTGTTTGAATGGTGGATAATAGAAAGACTTACAAACAAATCAGTTGTGAGGTTCATGGGCGAGTAATAGTGCTTGAATAATCCAAACAATGTTGGCTAACTTGATCCAGAAGTTGAAAAATTAGTAGTTTGTCTTTCTACGCCAGATTGTTGATGTCTAGTCCTGGCCTGCTTGTAAAGATCACCTACTACCTGCATTTGGAAATTTAGAATGGGTTGAGATTTGTTTTCTTTTGAGTTAAAATAATTCACTGCTTGCAATGACTGATCCAGGAAAAAAAGCAGAGTGGAAGGGGGGTTTTGCACCCACTTCATGTGGTGTATGCAGGAGGGGGCTTTGCACCCACTTCATGTGGTGTACGCAGTAGGGGGTTTTGCACCCACTTCATGTGGTATACGCAGGAGGGGGGTTTGCACCCACTTCATGTGGTGTACGCAGGAGGGGGTTGAACCCACTTCCTGTGGTATTACCCTAGAGGAGGGTTGCGCCTGTTGTATGACCCTTGAGGGGGGTTGCATGGCATGAACCTAGTGGGGGGAAGGTTGCTTCCTGTGGTATAACCCTAGCAGGGGGTTGCATCCGCTTCCTGTGGTATGACCCTGTGGGGGTTGCACACGCTTCTGTGGCATGAACCTAGTGGGGGGAAGGTTGCTTCCTGTGGTATAACCCTAGCGGGGGGTTGCATCTGCTTCTTGAGGTATGACCCTAGAGGAGGGTTGCACCCGCTTCCTTTGGTATGACCTTGGAGGGGAGAGGTTGTACGTGCTACCTGTGGTATGACCTTAGAGGCGGGTTGCACCCACTTTCTGTGGCATGACCCTAGAGGGGGGAGGGGTACACCCACTTCCTGTGGTATTACCCTAGAGGGGGGTTGCGCCTATTGTATGACCCTAGAGGGATGTTGCACCTACTTCCTGTTGTATGACCCTGGAGGGGGAGGTTGCACCCACTTTCTGTGGCATAACCCTAGAGGGGGGAGGGATGCACACACTTCCTGTGGTATTACCCTAGAGGGGGGTTGCGCCTGTTGTTTGACCCTAGAGAGACGTTGTACCCACTTCCTGTTGTATGACCCTGGAGGGGGAAGGTTGCACCCACTTCCTGTGGTGTAACCCTGGAAGGGAGAATGTAGCACCCACTTCCTGTGATAGGACCCTGGAGGGGGAAGGTTGCACCCACTTCCTGTGATAGGACCCTGGAAGGGGGGGTTGCATCCACTTGCTGTGAGTAGGGAGGTCAACATTCTGTGGGAATCCCCTGGATTAGTCACTGCTGATAACACGGCTTGTTGAATGTTTACACTAGAATTGCACTGCTGCTTACTTGTTGTCAGATCTTCTGAAAATATATTTCTAGTTTTCATCTCCCCCAGAAAAGAGACTTTCTTAGATTCTATTTTTTAGTAAATTTAAAGGGACAGTTCTTATAATTTAAATTTTTTCATTGCCATTGTCCAGTTCAAAATATGTAATGCCAATGCTTGAAAATGTGTCAACAGACATTAGACACAAATGTGTTGTATTTTCAGTGAAATCCCATAAACTAAAATAGTGTTAATTGATTGAATATAGAGGTGTACAGATTTTAGGCTGCTTAATATGCTTCATGTTGCTTTGTTTTACTTACCTCATGTTTTTGTTGGAGTTCAGAAACCACCACAGTACCAGTACGCAATGAGCATGGAGCAATTATTGGTGTGTAGCAAGTTTACAATTTATTAACTGTGATAGAGATTGTGTGAAGTAGCAGGTTGCCTGCTGGTGATTCTCATAATAGCCTTTTATTCATAATTGGGAATTTTACCTGTAATTTCTGTAAATGTAAAATCATGTTGAATGTTTTGATATAAAACATAATATTTCTCATTTTTCTGTGTCTTTGCCATTACTAGACAGCCGTATTTAGTACTAGTGGTATTTACCTTTCCTCACAGCTCCAGTAATGATATACATGCAAATTTGACAAAATGAAATCAAAATTGCCAGTTTCTATTATTCTAGCCTTTTTGCCAGATTGTTTGTTATCCCCAACTCGTAATAAAATGTGAAAATTGCATACTTGTTCAAATATGAAAGGCTGCCAGCAAAGTGAATTCAGTGGCTCATGTAATATTGTTAAGTATGAAGATGCTCATCACTGGGAACTAACCATGGCATCTCTGCTTACAGCTTCTTCTTCACCTGGTATTTGGCAATCAAGCTTTAATGTCTCTGGCATCTAAATTGTTCGGATGGATAAGGATTTAAGAATAATACTTGGAACAAGGGGAATTTTTAAGAAGATGAAATTTCAAAACTGCATTGTAACTACAGTAACGTAAAATGATAACGTGTGATTAACTTTGAAAAATTATCCTGCAATATCTGTATTTATGTGCATGCCATCCATGTTTATTATATCTTCTTGTATTACCCCTTTTGCTCTTTTCTAGCATGCAGACTAAATCTTTAGAACAATTATGTATTAATGAAACACTTCATATATTGCCATCTTCTCTGTGTTGATATACAATATAAAGCATGTTGATTGAGGTAAACCCTTTTCATTTAGGTTATTATTTTATCTGGGTTGGCTGTATTTGGCATATAGTCATATGCATTTGACTCAGCATTAATAATTTCTAGGTTATTGGTTTTTGTATTAACTTTCATGTGTGACATTATAATTGGTTGATTTGTTTTCTTTGCTGTTATAAGTCAGTTCAATGTTAATTGTTTTGATACCCTAGCAATGTCAATGTTTACTCTGTGTCAACCTCATTTGGTTTAAAATATATTAGATATCTGCTTTGTTTTTGTTTGTTAGCTTAACTATCAGAAAAACTATAGCAGAATTTTTTTTGTTAATTTTGTTTGTCGTCAGATGTTCTTGAAAGGGATTTTTTATCCGCAATATTGTATTTTATTCTATAGATTACAGTCGAGAGATGCGACCAGTTATAATTGGAACCATTCAGAAATTGAAATCGGGATACATACATGGCACAAGGTTGGCCTGTCTTGTTTATAGGTGGTGCTAGTGGCTGTGTGAATGTGCTGTTGCTGTCATATTAATTGTGGAATTGGTTATTCTAATATTTCATCAAAAGATGGGCAGTTTTAATGCCCACTGTGTCATTTGCTGTATTGATGACATGTTGAAAACCAATCCACAGATATGACAGGACAGGGTTTATCCAGTTGAAGGAAGAAGGCAACTGTGAACAGTAACTGCTTTGATTTAGTTCTGGCTTGCTTTGCTAAAGGATTATATTATTCCTTGGTTTGGCAGAGCATAAACAGTGTCTGAGACCTGCTTTGTCTTGTCAGACTCTGTTGTTTGGTGTGGTAAAATTTAAAATAATTGATACTTGAAATTGCCTTCTTTCTCATAGCTGGACAGTAGTTTTTTGTTAGTATTATATTTCTGTCGATGTAAAATGATTATTTTGGTTTCCTTCAGACATCAGAATGAAAATCCCAGCTCATCTTAAAGCTTTCATTTCAAAGCTTAAAGAGGGTTACGTATATGGTTCAAGGTCTGTATTTTGAACTTGGAATTGGGGTTGAAATTTTATTCATTTATTTTTATTTCTGCTTTGTTTTAGTTTTTGTTCTTTTGCATTTTTCACTTTATTATGGATTCAGAAGAGAATGCAATGCATAATGCTTCCCCTTTTGTAACTTTCTGAAAGCTGAATTACAAGCAAGTCTAACATTTTACTATCCTTAGTCTTTGAACTTACTGTTTAGATGTTTGCACATAGTCTCCAGCAATAGAAGAGACAATAAGGAGCAAAGCAAAATCAAGACAGTTAAAAAAGTCCTTTTCTGTCGTAAAAAATTTCTTACCAATATGCTTGCATTATCAGGATACCAGTAAGCAACTATCTGGCAAATGATTGAAATACTGACACAAACCATGCTGAGATAAATGCTTAATTTTTAAAAAATGTTTAGAAACAGTACCTTTGCATGAAACTCACTGCTTCAAGGGGGGGGGGGGGGTCGAGTGGCTGTTATTGATACTAGTGTAAAATAAAATATAATTCTTTTTGATGAGAGAAAAATATCTTGCATTAATAATGTTTTTATTGATTGTGCAGTTGAGATATTTTAAGTAGTATATGTGTACAAATGGGCAATGTACAAGTTTTAATTTTCTTCTGGGTTTAGTTGCTTGTTGTGTTCTATATGCCATGTAATTAATTGAGCATAAGTAGTTGAATGAGAGCTGAGCACTATTTTCTGTTTTAATGGGTATTATAGAAGCATGGTACTTTACTTTTAGCTTCTTTGAGACTGACTCACTCTGTGGCATACTTGTCCTGNATGTTTGCACATAGTCTCCAGCAATAGAAAAGACAATAAGGAGCAAAGCAAAATCAAGACAGTTAAAAAAGTCATTTTCTGTCGTAAAAAATGTCTTACCAATATGCTTGCATTATCAGGATACCAGTAAGCAACTATCTGGCAAATGATTGAAATACTGACACAAACCATGCTGAGATAAATGCTTAATTTTTAAAAAATGTTTAGAAACAGTACCTTTGCATGAAACTCACTGCTTCAAGGGGGGGGGGGGGTCGAGTGGCTGTTATTGATACTAGTGTAAAATAAAATATAATTCTTTTTGATGAGAGAAAAATATTTTGCATTAATAATGTTTTTATTGATTGTGCAGTTGAGATATTTTAAGTAGTATATGTGTACAAATGGGCAATGTACAAGTTTTAATTTTCTTCTGGGTTTAGTTGCTTGTTTTGTTCTATATGCCATGTAATTAATTGAGCATAAGTAGTTGAATGAGAGCTGAGCACTATTTTCTGTTTTAATGGGTATTATAGAAGCATGGTACTTTACTTTTAGCTTCTTTGAGACTGACTCACTCTGTGGCATACTTGTCCTGTACATACACAGCACATGGTATCCTCTACCACAGCCACAGACGGACTCACTCTGTGGCATACTTGTCCTGTTCATACACAGCACATGGTACCCTGTACCACAGCTACAGACGGACTCACTCTGTGGCATACTTGTCCTGTACATACACAGCCCATGGTACCCTCTACCACAGCCACAGACTGACTCACTCTGTGGCATACTTGTCCTGTACATACACATTCCATGGTACCCTCTACCACAGCCACAGACTGACTCACTCTGTGGCTTACTTGTCCTGTACATACACAGCACATGGTACCCTCTACCACAGCCACAGACTGACTCACTCTGTGGCATACTTGTCCTGTACATACACAGCACATGGTACCCTCTACCACAGCCACAGACTGACTCACTCTGTGGCATACTTGTCCTGTACATACACAGCACATGGTACCCTCTACCACAGCCACAGACTGACTCACTCTGTGGCATACTTGTCCTGTACATACACAGCACATGGTACCCTCTACCACAGCCACAGACTGACTCACTCTGTGGCATACTTGTCCTGAATATACACAGCACATGGTACCCTCTACCACAGCCACAGATTGATTTAACACTAGATATTTACAGATATCTCTCTGGACAATTTATGACGCAATTCTCTTTAGAATTCTCTACAAAATTGTGTCATGAATTGGTCAGAGACAGATCTCCTAATATCTTAGTGATCAATTGATCTGTGGTTCTGGTCGAGGGTAGCTATAGGTTGTGTGGACCGTTGTTTGGTTTTGCAACCCCAATAAACTCATCTCTGTGCAACGAAAATATTGACTTAGTTGGTAGCTAACAATAGACACCATGACTGTTACAGTGGCTTTCTCCAGTTTAAATTAATAAAAATATTATTAAATTTTAATTCTTTTTTAACATTATAATCAGAATGATCTTTGAATAGATAAATTCAGTAGTTTCAGGATCTTGTCTAATAGGTATTTTATAATGTAGGATTGCCAATGTTCTAGATCACACCATAATGTGGCACACGTACACATGTTGTCTATGGTATTATAGTCATAGTCTCTTAACATGAACAGACTTGAAAGCATTTCCCCCATGGTTTCTTTCCAAGTTTTTTTACAAATGTACCAAAGAACCTAGAGAGTAGACTTTAAAGAAGATACGGCAATATTGCTGATCTGCCCTCTTTATGGATGTGATAGAGATAAAACTTGTTAAAGTAATAGAAATGCATTGAACATGAGAACCACGTGCCAGTCTGGTCTCACTCTTGATAGTTATTATTTTGTTCATGTTTTCAGAGTACAGTTAGGGAACTTGTCTGACTTCCTGTCAACCTCCTGCATCACAAAGCTGACCTTCCTCAACTTTGAGAAAGGGAGTGAGGATGGTATGTTATTATATATATCCTAGCTGTGCCTTGATAATATAAGTGTAAGAAAGGGAGTGGGGATGGTATGTTATTATATATATCCTAGCTGTGCCTTGATAATATAAGTGTGAGAAAGGGAGTGGGGATGGTATGTTATTATATATATCCTAGCTGTGCCTTGATAATATAAGTGTGAGAAAGGGAGTGAGGATGGTATGTTATTATATATATCCTAGCTGTGCCTTGATAATATAAGTGTGCCCTAACGAAAAAGTCCTATAGGATCCTATAAGATCCTATAGGATCCTATAGGAAATTGGGCCAATTTCCGGTAGGATCCTATAGGAATCCTATAGGACTTTTTCCTAAGGGGGAGAAAGGGAGTGAGCAGGGGCGGATTTAGGGCGTCTTCTGGGTCTTCCGGAAGACGGTCAGATTTTCAAGTTTACATTGACGGGTATCTAATTCTTTTTGTCGGAAGACGGTCAAAAATGGAGGATGGACCAAGAAAGATAAATTGGAAGACTGTCAGAAAATAACCCTGGATCCGCCCCTGGTGAGGGTGGTATGTTAAGATTTCCCAGCTATCTATTAAATCTTAGTAACTGTACCAACAGTAAAAATAAGGCTGCATTTTGCAGAGGCTGAGCTGGGTGCTATAATTGGAGATCTCGCTAGTCCTACCTGTCCTCGACCTCACCTGCCAGTCAGCCTAGGTTTCACCCGGAGACGACACAGGAGTCGCGCCAACTCTGTCAAAGGCATTGTGAAACGGACACGCTCCATATGTGTGGACGAGGACTCCATAAAACCAAGTACGTAAAATGATACCATTTTAAAACCATGTTCATTTTATAATGTCATTGCTTTGCAAATAAGATTACTTTAGCTAATTGCTTTTACATAGACCAATGAATATGTAGAATATTTCAATATATTTTTTTAATCAGAATCATTTTGCAAGATGTAATAATCAGACATACAGTAGATGTATGTGTTTAATTATTGCAGTAGTCCTATCTAAAAGTACCTAATTGCTAGCATAGCAATGTTTAGTTTTGGTGCATAAGTATGTTTTGGAAAGAGATCAACTTTAGTTATTTTTGGAGGTGAAATAAAGTTGATAACATACATTTTAGAAATAAAATGTAATGATGGAGGTATGAAACTAGAAGTTAGTGATATATGAATGGGGATAATTGTATGTTAGTGATATATGAATGGGGGTAATTGTATGTTAGTGATATATGAATGGGGGTAATTGTATGTTAGTGATATATGAATGGGGATAATTGTATGTTAGTGATTTATGAATGGGAAAAATTGTTTGTGTGTGTGTGCGTGTGTGTGTGTGTGTGTGTGTGTGTGTGTGTGTGTGTGTGTGTGTGTGTGTGTAAAAGAAATGATTCAATATTTTGCAGAAGTTTTGTGCTTTCATCAGTTGTAGTTCTGTTCAAGTGAGTCAATTATGGATATGGCTAAATTTTGAATCTTTAATAAATGGATACAGAATGATGTCTCCAATTGTGTAAATCACAATTACCCAAGTAGTAACCCTAATCTAAATGAACTGAACTGGTGACCTTGACCTCTTTCCAAAGGCACTTTCTAGGTCGACTGTACACAAATATTATCAAGTTTAGTCTCATTGTTGGTCCAATGTCTTATTTTTTCTCTAGAAATCCATATTCATGAAGGTAAGAAATTCCCCTGAGTGACTTCCACATCTCCTTTTAATTTGTATATATTATTTTCACCTAGCCCTGTAGATGTTTGGAGAGCAGGGTTTGTGTTTTATATTGTCTTCTAGGTGTTTGGATATCTTCTTAGTCCTATTTATGTAACAACCTTGGGTGTCTTACTTGCAAGTTTCACTTCTCTGAGATTGTAATTTTATTTCTCTCTACATTTTTTAAAAAGAAAAAAAAAATATGAAGCACATGTTAACATTGCATGTAAATGCCTGTGGTAGAAAGTACTTATAAGTTATGCACAGATAAATTTGTGCATATCTTCAGTCCAACTGAAACTGTACCTAATTTACCCAGTATGATCCAAAATGTTAGAGCATAAACTATTAATTGGCTGCTTTGCAGAAACCAAACCTAATTTGATGAAAAATCATATCTCTATGATAACATGAATTTTTTTTAATTTGAATAAGTTTTATAAAAGTTCTTGTCCCTTATACTTGTTGTAAAAACCATGTGGTGTAGTTATTTCAATAGAAAAAATGCCAATTATCCTGATGTGGTGACATTAGAAGAGAAAAAATGCATTTGGTTGTAAGACACTCAAGATGCACCCCCCTCCTCCACCCCCTCCCCAGTATACTGGAATGACTTGTATGTCAGTAGTGCTTGGAGTGGTAGTAGTTTTTAAATATATCCACATGTATGTTAGTAATGCTTGGAGTGGTAATAGTAGTAGCTTTGTTGTAGTTGTGGCATGAACAAGATAACCTGCTGACAGAGGTATTGTTGATGGGGGCTTGATGAGCTTTGGTTCACTGTGTTCTATGTTGTTTGTGGTATTGAAAGGCTGAAGGTAGATGGTAAAAGAAGAAGTCTATGTTCAGCCACATTTTAACTACATTGTAATAGCCAAGCCAGGTGGGAGAAGAGGAGAGAGAAGAAGAGAGGTGGAGAGATGAGTTGATGTATTTTATTATTTCAGTGTTGCCGAGGCTGGAAAACATCTACCGCGAGGCAACAGGAGGTATCTTGGTGTTTCACTAAAAGCACAAGTTTCTAGATTTCATGTTGTGTTTGTCTCACTATTAACATTCATGTTTGCTCTAATTGGTTATAAGGTTTCTGTTTGTAAAAATTGATATTTCTTTAGATATTTTAACAAATGGATACTTATTATTAATGACTGGAAAAATGATAATTACGTAAATGTCTGTTGTTCAGTTAAATAACAATTGTCTACAATATTAACAGATAAAAAAGGAGAAAAAAAATATATATTTTTTTTTCATTTGTAACATAAAAGTACTCATTATTTTCATTTATCCTAACCTTGCTGCCTGTCAAATATATAAGAGCAACTTTGAGACTGATCAGAGCTTGGTCACAGTCAACATCCTGCTCATTGTGCAAGCATGCCAAGGCTTTATGACCATCTAGACATATGTAAAAGTTAGCTAGTGGACATTAGCTATGCAAGAAAAAATACTGTCAATATCCATTCTTTATTTCAGCAACTCTTAATGATTTATAAACGGCCTGTATTTTTTTTTTTTTTTGATTAAGTATATTTTACCTAACTATATGTATATGTATGTTCCATACATAAGACAAAGTATAAACTGTTTGAATAGTAGGATATCTCTGATATATTATGTATATTTGAATGCTATTGTGCTTCAGGGTGTCACTGATTTAAAAATGTTTCCAAGAATGCTATTTCTGTGTGAGTAGCTATCTCTGCTATATCACCTGTGTGATAGAGCTTCCACAGTTGGGTGCCACGGTTTGGTAGCTGTTTTAAGTGGAGTGAGAGCAATGCACATATAATGATAAATGTATATTACAGATATGAAGCCATGCCACATTATTTCACAAAATATAATCCGTATACTCCAATGCTTTTGTGTATATTAGCTTTGAAGGGTGACATGAAAAAAATTGCCCACCAGTTCGAAATAAATATCCATCATACACTGGCCAAAGTTGCCCAGTGTACAAAGATATTCCACAGTTGATCCTGTACTCAAATATTGTATCTTGGTTTCCTAGTTTCTCATCACCTCCCAGATGTCCACATGCGTGACCCTAACTTTGGCCTGTATGTCAGCCCCGGCCACTCCCCCTACACCAGCCCTCAGTCCTCTCCCCCGGGGAGCCCCAGGATGAGCCGTAAGAAACTGCTCACAGCAGGAGTGGCTGGGATTCCACGCTCTGAGAGTGACCTCTTGTGGCGGTCTAAAGAAATCAAGGAGGTTCAGGGAGCTGGCATTGACTGTAATGAGATGGTGGATGCTCTAAAGGAGACAGACTCACTCCATGAACAGGCTGATATCATACACTGGCTGCATATTAACAAGTATGTTTTCAAACTCTTATTTAACAAGTACGTTTTCAAACTCCTCNTTGTTTCCAGAGTATGAAATTGAAACACTGATAACATTTAACTATATGATGCAACAGATGCTGTACTGAAATTGTGTTAAAGATTAATGCACTATTTTAACTCTTCTACCCTAGTATATATGTTGTGTTATATATGCCTGTGTTGTGTTAAATGTTCCTGTGTTGTGTTATATGTTCCTGTGTTGTGTTATACATGTGCCTGTGTTGTTATACATGTCCCTGTGTTGTGTTATATGTGCCTGTGTTGTGTTATATGTATCTGTGTTGTGTTATACATGTCCCTATGTTGTGT